CGGATTTAATTAAGAAAACAGAGCCACTGTAGGTTCTTCAGGAATAAAGGATTTACTGTAGGAATGTTTACTTATATGAATATTGGAAACAATAGGGAGTAAAGATCAGGGACATTGCTCCGTGAAGGTCAGGGTCAGGAAAGGAGACTTTGAAGACTTTAGTCTCAAGAACCGACAGAGTTCTCACAATCTTTCCAGGAAGTTGCTCCAATTCTCAGTAATATTCAAAAGACTCTCTCACAAACTGCTTTAATCTATGACAAGTGCTTCTTATACCAGCCAGAAAGAGGTTAGATATCTAACATGTTCTCATTTCTCTCCTGTATGAAACCAGCTCTCTGTCTTTTCTTCCTCTCATTAACAAACTCTAATGTGGAGACATACAGAAAAGAGGATCTGGAAAACATAGTTCCAAGATTCTCCTATGAAATGCTCAGGAGACTGTACAGGAGGTGAAGTTGAGTTGACAGCAGATAGTCCAGCAGAGTTTAAAGAGAAAACCTTGAGGGCTTTCCCTGCTGTGGCCCAGTGGTGGGGAGGCAGAGACTTGGGTGTGTTCGAGATTTGGCTCCTCGCAATAACGCACCACCATGACTGAGAAACGCACTGGTGCTGGAGGTGTAATGGATGTTAATCCTGCCTTTTTTTTTTTTTTAAATGAGCTTTTTGCTATAGGGTGCATACACTTGCTGGAAGGACAGAGAGAGAGATAGAGATAGAAAAATAGAAAATAAAACCTTTAGATTCGTTTGACCGGAAAAACTTTTTCTCTTCTTAAAGTATCTTTCTAAAAATTATTTTTATTTAATTTTATTTATTTGTTCATTTATTTTAATTTGACCAGAGAGAGACACAGAAAGAGAGAGAGAGAAGTGAGAAAGCAAGCCACCGGGTCTGGGACTCGAACCATGGTCGACCACGTGGAAGTGTCCAGCACCTTAACCACCATGCCACCTGCTGGTCTCCTTAAAGTATCTTTATAGAATCAACTTTCTTTAAGATATTGAATAATGCAGTAATGATAGGGGGACTATTTCTTTTTATCCTTGCAGGTTGTTTGGGTACACATTTAGAAAAAGTGTAAGAGAAAGGTTGCTTGATAAACTTTTTTTTTTTTTTAAACAGAGAGAAACAGAAAGTGAGAAATCACTGCCCAGGGGGATGGCCATACTGCAATCTCTTCTCCTCCATTCTCCTCTCGAGATTTTGGGCACATACACACAGGTGCCAGTGTTAATTCTAATCTGGCGGGTCCAGGACTCAAACTGCGGTCAACTACATTGGAGTCTAGCAACTTAGCTATTATGCCATCTGCTGGTCACCTTGCCATTTTTTATCCCTACTGTATTAGGTTTATCCATAGCTGTGTAACAAATTACCCCCAGACTTACAGAACAATAAACATTTGTTATTTCATACTTCCTACGCGTCAGGAAACTGAGTGCGGTTTAGCTGAGTTCTCACAGAGCACTTCACTAGGCTGCAATCTTGGTGGCATCAGGAGCTGCAGTCATCTCTAAGCTTGCCTGTGTTCCCAAGCTCACTCTTGCAGCCTTTGGCAAGCCTACAGTCCTTGTAGATTGCTGGCTGGAGACCTAAGTTCCCTGCCACATGAGGCCTCTCTATAGGGCTACTCACAATATGTTTGCTTTCCTCACAGTGAGAAATGAGACTAATAGAGAGGTGGGGGAGGGGGAGGAGGGGAGAAGAGAAGGGAGAGGAAGAGAGAGACAGAGGGAGGGCCAGCAGGTGGTGTGGTGGTTAAAGGCACTGAATTCCTACATGGCCAACTGCGGTTCGAGTCCCAGACCTGGTGGCTCGCTTTCTCACTTTCCTTTTCTCTCGCTCTAGGTCTCTCTGGTCAAATGAAAAAAAAAAAAATAATAATAACAAATGGAATTAAATAAATAAATAAATAAAAATTTTTAAAAATGAAAGAAAGAGACAGAGGGACAGGGACAGAGGAAAGAGAAAAGGATGTGGGAGAAGAGGAGGAAAAGAGAGGAGGAACTAGTTTTTTTGTTTGTTTGTTTCTGCTCCTATGACTCCACTCTAATTGACCTTGCTAAAGGATCTGGTGAACTCCCGATTGCCAAAAGAAAGGGAACAGTTTTCAGCCATGTCCCACTCCACTTCCTGTCTTGTGTTGCTGCTGCCCTCACTTGACTCCCCTTTCTTAGCTAATGAGACATCACGCCCTCTGCTGGTTCTCTCTTTGGGTGCTCTATCTTGGGCTCCCTCTAGGTGCATTTCAATTTGGGAGCTCCTTAAGGCTCTCTCTCCTTCTAACTTTGATTTCAGGAAACCTCATCCATGCTCACAAAGTCCCAAACCTTTGCCCCAGAAAAACCTTTCCTCCTAAGCATCCTGTGTCCTTAAACCTGTAAGCGACCTCCCCATGGACATCCTGCAGGAACTTAAGACATGACACGTCCAAAGCGGATCTGATCATCTTTCCTCTGAATCTATTCCTTGTCCTGTGCTCCCTATTTCTAGGACCCTATTCTCCATCCAAATGTCCTGGCCAGAAACTTTTAGTTTTTACTTATTTTTATTTTATTTTTTTTTAAATTTTGGCCCCATGACCAGTTTCTGGATTCTCCCTGTTTGATACTTCTCCTAGCTGTGCCCTGCTTTCTGGGCCACACTGCCTGCACTTAGTCATCTAGTTCTCTTCTGTGAACTTCTGCAAATGTGCCCTTTCTGATCTCCTGCTTCTACTCTTCCCCTTCCCAGGATAGCCTTCATACTGCTGTCAAAGTGTTTTCTTCCATCAACCAAGTCTGATCATGTTAGTGTTCAAAATGCTCCAGTGGATTCCAGGTTAATATCTAAACTCCTTAACCAGCCAGACAAGACCTTGAAAATCTGGTTCTTATCTCTCTTTCAGCCTTATCTTCCAATGTACCCTCATTAATACTAAACCTCATGTATTAACTTGAAGGACTTCCTTATTCTCACTTAGAATGCCCAATCTTTGTTTATTTATTGTTTTTTTTTGAGAGAGGTTTTTGCTATAGGGTGCTTGCACTCACCAGAAAGACAGAGACAGAGAGGCAGAAAGAGAGAAATCACCCCCCAGGGGGGGATGGCCACACTGCAATCCCTTCTCCTCCATTCTCCTCTTGGGATCTTGGGCACGCACACACACATGCCCGGCATGAGTTTAAGCCACCGGGTCCGGGACTCATACTGTGGTCAACTACATGGGAGTCCAGCGACATAGCCATTACACTAACTGCTGGTCCCCCCATCTTTATTTTTGACCAGTGATTTTCTGCTCAAGTTTCAGCTCAAATATTGCCTTACCTCTAGGTAGAGCAGGACCTCTGCTATAGCACACCACTCTGTTCATCAAATTGCACCATTAATGTTTGACTAACTCTCCAGAGATCCAAACTAGGTGAGCACATTATAGGCACCTAATAGGATCAAGAAGCTCAAGGGCAAAGTGGAAAGTAAAATTAAGTTTCATACCCAAACTGGAAATTATTTTTCTACACTGACATGCTGGAAACGGAGAATTCACAATGCAATATTTCAACTCTATTATTATTATATTTTTTTTAGAGAGACTTTTGCTATAGGGTACGTGCACTTGCCAGAGAGAGAGAGAGACAGAGACAGAGAGAAAGAAAGTGAGAAATCATCCCTGGGGGTAGAGGAGGGCCATGCCACAATCCTCTTCTTTTCCTTTCTCTTCTTGGGATTTTGGGTACATATGCACCTGGCATGAGTTTTAAGCCACCATGCCTAGTACTCGAACCACGGTTAACTATGTGGGAGTCCAGCAATGTAATCATTATGCCATCTGCTGGTCCCTATTGCAACTTATTTTTATGGGTTTCTTAGTGGTGCCACAGTAATAGATTCCTCATAAAAGTAGCCTCTGCAATCTCAGGTAGACAAATGAGATCTGTTACTGGTCTCCTTTCCAAAGCACTTTCCACATTACGGCCTTGGTAGCCTTTCCAAAACACACCTCTAATCATCTCTCACTTCATCGCAAACATACCACACCCTGCTTGAAACCCTTCACAGCTTCTCATATTCAGGTTGAAATGAAGCAGAAGCCACTTTTTTTTTTTTTGGAGAGGTTTTTGCCATAGGGCGCATGCACTTGCCAGAAAGACAGAGAGAGACAGAGACAGAAACCGAGAAATCGCCCCCCAGGGAGGATGGCCATGCCACATTCCCTTCTTCTCCGTTCTCCTCTCGGGATCTTGGGCACACACACACACACACACACACACACACACATACACGCCACCAGGTCCAGGACTCAAACCACGGTTGACTACATGAGAGTCCAGCAACATAGCCATTATGCCATCTGCTGGTCCCCAGAAGTCACTTCTTAACATGAGCTACACTCTCTATTCATTCCTCAGACTCCTCTCCCACCTTGTGCCACTGTTTGTGTCACAACTGTTCTGGCCCTCCCCTGGGATCCTGTGGTTGCCCCTCTTGCCCCAGTGCAGAGTCTCTGCATGTGTTTGTGTTTGGTTAACTCTTTCCTTCTTCTTTGCCTTGTCCACTAAGCCTCACCTCCAGCGCTATTTCCTCGGGATAATATTTCCAATCATTCTTTTTTTTATTTTTCCTTTTTATTTATTTATTTATTTTTACATTTGCCACAAGCATTTACTTTATTTTTTTTTTAAAGAGGTTTTTGCTATAGGGCGCGTGCGCTTGCCAGATTGACAGAGAAGAGACATTAGAGACAGAAAGTGAGAAATCACCCCCCAGGGGGGGTGGCCATGCCGCAATCCCTTCTCCTCCATTCTTCTCTCGGGATCTTGGGCATGCACGCACATGCGCCTGGCGTGAGTTTAAGCCACCAGGTCCGGGACTAGAACCACGGTAGGCTACATGGGAATCCAGCGACATAACCATTCCACCAACTGCTGGTCCCAAGCATTTACTTTTCATATCAAGAAATTTGTGTTCATACTCCATAGTTTCCAATCATTCTGCTGTAGATTTAATTTCCCACGTACCTTTCCTCCAGTGCTTGCCGTGTTGTATACCGGTACCTAAACGTGACTGGGCTAATGCCCACCCTCCTGGGCTGGCTGGAAGGCTGTAAGGGCAGGGACCACGTCTCTCATCTTCCCTGCTGCATCCAAGGGCATTCCAGTGCCTGCAGAGCCCTGGGATAAAGCAGGAACGGGTAAATACTTGGTGAAGGAAGGTGTGAAGGAACGAATGAGGAATAAAAGGAGTTTCCATTCTGCTTTTCTTTTTACCACTACCCTGTCCTCATAAACATTCCTTAACAATTTTCCCAAGTGTTTTCAGACGACCTATTTCACTGGATATGAACAACTGACTTTAGAAAGGGCAACCCCCGCGGATGACTTGTCCAGTGTTACACCGCTGGTGAGCTAAAATTTGAGACTAGAACAGAGCCTTTCACTTTTTGGACCAGGCTTCTGTCCATTAGATAGATATGGGAGCCAATGAAGGTTACATCAAACTTCATTGGGAGTATCTGCACATATGATAATAAGAACTCTCCAAATTAAAATAAAAACTCAACATCCATTTTACTATTTTAGGCTGCTAGGACTATTGCTCACAGAACACAGGCAGAAATGTGCTAAAAGCTGTCATTTCAGCACGTACCCTTTGGGCTCTGAGGAAGAGTAAGCCATCTTTCTCTGTACAACAGAGATCAGTTAATAGTCCATTAAAATTTAGACGTTCAGAAAATGTCCAATATTAAATTGAGAAAACCAGTGAGAAAGTTTAGAACTTCTGAAAAGCTTTCATCCTTCCTTTAGTGAGGCTATTTTTGTAAGGAAACAAGAGAAAAGTTACTCAGCAGGTTAAGAGAGAAGCTAGTCTCATTAGTTCCAAAGAGTAATCTCAGTCTAGGTACATTTGTTCATTTACCTAACATTTTGAAAAGTTCTACTATAGCAACACAATTCAGAAGAGAGAAAAATATAAGTGACTTAATAATTGCCTTTAAATACATTTTGAAATTCAGATGTTACTTAGCTAATAAAATGGACAATTAACTGTGAACTTACATAAAAAATTTATTTACCAAACGTTATGCTGAAAGCTGCCTGGGTCCCTGGGGGTTCATGTAAATTCTGGGCTTCCCACTACCCTTTTGTTTAAACCCATTTCATACAGTTCAGTCTACCAGGCAGGAATTTCTTGGGAAGGGGGGAGCGGGACGTGGAGAAATAGAAGGCATAAAAACACAGCCTAGACATGCGGTCATATGTCTGCAAGCATTTTCGTTATCACGAACCAAAGTGAGAACTGGATAAAAAGCTTCAAGTCCAGGAAAAGTTAAATCGTTTCACTCATTTGATGGAATGTATGCAGCCGTTAGGAATGGATTCTTGCAACTGTCTTTATTTCCAGGGAACGTATATTACTTTTGCACTTAGGGAAATATAAGGAATGAAAAAAGGCAAGAGAAGGTCGCGTTTTGCCTGCCTCGCTGCGTCTTTCTGGACCTCGGGGTGCGTCTGCCCGCCCCAAGGAGTTTCCAGAGCCAACAAACTTGTCTTGGCTAGTACTCTGGGATCCCCGCGGCTGCAGGCTCCGGGAGAGCCGTGGAGCGCAGGGCCGCGGAATTGCGGCGTCCCTGGACCTCGCCTGGGACTCCCGGCGCCGGGTGCCTGACGCCCCGCGCGGCAGAGCCCAGCGGCCTGACCCACGCTCAGAGACTTAGCGCAGCGCGCCTGCGCGCACAGTCACGTGGTGGGCGCTCCGCGCAAAGCGGGTTAAAAGTCACGACCGCGGAGCGCCAGCGAGCGCCCGGTGGGTCGGCGAGGCGTTCTCTGCGTTTCTTAAACCGAGTTTGCTAGTGGCCGGCTCCGCTGTTCTTGACCACCTCCCAAACCCCGGCCCGGCTCAGCTCCATGAAGCGAGCGGAGGCTCTTAGCGCCGTTCCTCGCATACCGCACTGGCGCGCGAAAACGCGTCTTTCAACTGACAATGAAGCCGTAACCGCGGAGCTCCACGGTTCAGGACGAATGGGCGCGAGGCCGGGAGGGGGAGGGGAGGAGAAGGACGGTTGGGCCAAGCCCCGCCTTGGCTCGCGCCCCTATTGGTGGGCGCTGCGGTTCTGGCCCCGCCCCCTAGCGGACCTGTCGCTTTGTGACAGGCGGAGGGGCCAGTTCCTGTTGGGCCGGGGGCGGAGTCAGAGGTTGCCCGAGCTCCGCCCAGACGCCAGGGGGCTCCTCCCCTGCTCCTCTCGGCGGGGCGGGCGGCGGGCGTGAGAGGGAATGTCATTGCTTCTCCGAGCCGTGGTGCCGCCTCCGTCTGCCGTTCCTTCTTCTCTGGCGCCCCCGTCCCGTCGGCTCTCGCC